TTTGCATGTAATGCGTCTATCTCATATATTGGTTTCACCTTTTGAGTTGCCATACTGACATCAATGAACATTTGCACGATATTCTAATTTTTCGAGTTTCACCTGTACTTCCTCAAATGAAGCCAAGGAAAAGAGTTATATAAAAGTCAAGTCCGAGCATTAGAGACATCCTTTAGAATTTTACAAGAACCACAGTGGTTATTCTACCATCTAATGAAAAAAATAAGTGAATTATTTTAATATATTGCTTTTATCTGTTTCACTGTTTCTCTTCCCTTTTCAACTGAAGCTAAAGTTACTTACAGCATGTGCATCTCTGAAAGACATGCTTAATGGGTAATTAGAAAATTAAATATATTTGGATTAAATATCTAATTGATTAGAAAATTAAGTATTTTTCCAATAAATATTTTATTAAAAATTAAATATCAAGCTTCACAGAGAAAACAATTCAATACCAAAGTTTAACGATATTGTAGCTCTTTTCAGTTGATCAGTAGAAAGGCTTTTTCTATGATAGATTCTCCACTGTGAAAATATAGAAATAGAAACAAGTTTTATTTGCAAATTTTACATGAAAGAACTAGATCATTTGTACCAAGTCTTTAAAATATCCAGGAAGGGCAATATGAGGGTAACTGACCTATTTATTGGGAAGTATCAATTAAACTATAACCATTTCAGTTCCCTTTTTTTTCCTACTGTGAAGACTCAAATATTAATATCATGTATTCTAATGTATTTGGGTCCTTTCCCTATTTTTGTTTAAAGTATTTTCTTTTTAATTCATGCATGTAAACAAGGGTATATAAATATATTAATTCTTATTTATGCATTTTACTTTTATTTACTATACAGTGGAACTTCGGGTTACGAACGCTTTTGTTAACGAACTTTTCGGGTTACGACTAGCTCCGGCCGCAAAATTTTGCTTCGGTTTGCGAACTCCGCCTCGGGGTACAAACAGGATATGCGGCCATTTTCCCTCCCGTGACATGGTCCGCGGCCTTTTTCCGCCCAACACATGGTCCGCGGCCATTTTCCCGCCCCGACACATGGTCCGCGGCCATTTT